TAGGTGGCCTAAATGGCATCATATAACTAACAGCAAAGCTGGACAAGAAATCCAAGTTCTCTATGGTCTAAGTGTTTGTGTCTCTCCCCTATCTCTGAAAAAATAAATTATATGTCAAAATCCGAATGCCCAAAGTGATGGTCATTAGGAGGTGGAGACTTGGGAAGGTAATTAGATCATGAAGGCACAGACTTCATGAATGAAATTAGTGCTTTAATAAAAGATACTCAAGACATTCAATACTCAAGATACTCCATACCATTCCACTATGTGAGAACATGGCAAGAAGGTGCCATCCGTAAGTCACAAAGCAGATGATCACCAGACACTGAATTTACTAGTTCCTTGGCCTTGGATTTCCTAGCCTCTAGAACTATGACAAATAAATGTCTGTGGTTTATAAGCCACTTATATTATGATAGTTTGTCATAGCAGCCTAAATGGACTATTACGTCTGCCTCCCAATTCAGCAGTTTCTTCAATACACCATACTACCTTCCCTAAGATAAGGCACCAAAGTCAATGTATTTTTTCATCACAAGTCTACTGAGTTACTTTAAGTAAGTCACTGCAGGTCCCTTTACTCAATTTCCTGTAGCAATATTGTAGTATCACTAATGTGTTATCAACTTCTTAATGGATGATCATATTACTTGATATATTTAAGTTCATTCAAAAGCACATGAAAAAGAAAAAATGACATATTATGGAAAGACCCATAGAAAAGGTCACCTAGCACTAAGAACAGTTATTCAATTTAATTTTATTATTTTTACTCTTGTTCAGAGATTTAATAATTGAAAGTAGTAAGCTGAACGTGTATACTTATTTTCAAAAATTACCTGCTGAATTATGTATAAATCCTTTTATAACAGAAAGCAAACAGCACCATTTCAACTTCCAGTGTCCATAGTTGACATTGTTAATCAAATACAGCATTCTTACCCACTGAATCAGGTTACGGTCTCAGAATAATTCTCAATATCACATTTCAGGAAATTATCATCATTCAGTCAAAATTGGCACCTGAATTAAAACTTATGCACTTTCTCTGACATACAGAACACCTTGCCATACAGTAGCCTTTTTATAGCATGTGTAGATATACGTTGGTTTTAGATTTCTTTTTAAAATTGATTGGCTACTGATTTACTGAAATAATTTAACTTCAATCTGTTTAAGGCAGCTCCAAGGCACACATGTGAAACACAGTACTAATGGGACATTGTATTTGAGAAAGGATTTGGGATTCTGGTTTAAATTCACTGCAAAGTTTAGTTTAAATGCAACTTACTCCATGAACCTTTCCCTGATATATGAAGTATGTCCTGGTTTACCTGGGTGATACCAGTTTGTTTCTCTTATGCTGCCATAATTAGTAACCATACCCCCTTTTACTCTCAGTGGTGTCCCAGTCTGTATGAAAAATTACATGGCTATCCTACCCAATTTGGAAGAGGCCTCTTTTGTCTCCAAAATCCCTATAATACTTAATGGCTCAAATGTGACAAATGATTTATCTTGTACAATAGCTACTTCTAGTTATAATTTATCCTCCCACAACCCACTTTCCAGTCTGGATTACAAATACTTTGAGGAAAGTTGTATTTTAGTATTCATGGTATCTAAAATAGAGATGCAATGGATATAAATCCCATTACTTTTTTGATCCTAGTGCCTCACACATACTAAACTCAAAGAGACAACTTGTTGAATTAATAAATACTTGAGACTGTAAACTCTTTTACAGTTAAAACTAACCTCATTCATCTTGATAAACCTCACAGAGGCACAGGGCTTTGGACATTATCCGTGTTTACAAAATTGTTTGAATGAATGAACAAATGAACAAATACACACAGTACAATTTTTCTCATGTTGTCCTTTTATAACACTATATAGAAATAAACTGGCAAAAGTTAATTAATTAAAATATTAACTAACATGTACCAAACAAGAGTAGCACCTTTTCTTACTCTCAGTTCATTTAAGTGGTTGACTGAAATACAATTCAGTCTCTTTGTCTGAGTATTTTGGTATGTTAATTAAGAAGCATGGGTCAATGGTGGCCCATCTCTGAAAATAAAACATAGATCTGATGACCTCGGAAGTCTTACGTGACACATCTGGAAAAGCTGTTCTGAAAAAAGGGGACTCAGAATATGAACTATGCCTGGAGGTCATAAAATTCAGTCTATAGTGGTCAAGTTCAAGGTTTAGCTTAATATAAAAATATCCAACATTCCAAAATGGAAAAAACTAAGGCTAAGACGCCACACTAATCAGTACTTAATGGGGTCAGAAACATCCTGGGAATTATCTTTCGTGATGCAACTTAACTACATTCCTCAAATTCCATCTTTCATACTTAGCATGTCATCTAGCATGCTCCAAACATCACTCTCATAGCTCCAAAAACATTATTTACAGGCCTCAACCTTTCTTTGCTGAGCACAGTTTAGGTCAGCTTAGATTTTCAGACAAGTCATTTCAACCAATAAGATGTCTTGATTCCCAAAGAAGCAGCATTTTTTCAATTTCCTATGGAGTTTACTTGGACTTGGAACCTTTTCCATGCACCATAGTTTACTCAAAAATGGACCTAATCCAGCAATCCCACTACTGGGTACCTCCCAAAGGAAAAGAAGTCATTATATTTAAAAAGATGCTTGTGCACACATGTTTATAGGAGCACAATTGCAAAAATACGGAGTCAACCTAAATGCTTATCAACCAGTAAGTGGATAAAGAAAATGTGGTGTATATATATACACCACGGAATAACACTCAGGCATAAAAAGGAATTAAATAATGGCACTCACAGCAACCTGGATGGAGACAGAGGCCATTATTCTAAGTGAAGTAATTCAGGAATGAAAAACTAAATATCATAGCTAAGCCATGAGGACATAAAGGCATAAGAATGATATAATGGACTTTGAGGACTCAGGACATGAGAGACAAAAGACTACACATTGTGCATAGTGTACATTGCTCACAGGATGGGTGCACAAAAATCTCAGAAGTTACCACTAAAGAACTTGTCTGTGGCACTGCCACCGCCGCCAGTCAGCCAAGACCACGGCTACCTCCTGCCCTGCAGCTGCTGCCACTGCCTGTGTTGCCACTGCCTCGACCAGCTGTATGATTAGGCCACAATCTTCAATAAGTAAATATATTCCTCAGTTCTGTGGTGTTCTTCGTCAACATTTATGGAGTTTCTGAAGGGTGTGGAGATTACTGCCAGGCACAGCCCAACCTCTATGCAGAGAAGTGAACTGAAGAAACTGATTACTACTCCACCAAGAAGCCCCCCATAAGAGGGGTTATCCTGCATACAGAAGTGTTGAGTTGAAATTCACAGAGCATTTTATAAAAGTTCTGACCTCAATAGGGTAAACCTCAGTGCACCTCTTTTCTGTTACTTCAGTATTACTGGATTGAAGAACTGCTGCTTGTTTTTAGGAAGTTCATTTCATTTGCCATTACTTACAAATTTATACTCAAAACACTGAGAATTTCAAGTGGACTGTATTGAAGTAGACTTCAGTTTCTTTGTATCATTTCTGTATTGAATTTTTTAAATTATTTCATAAACCTACTGAATGTTTTTTAACTAAATTAATACTACTCGAATGAACCACTCGGCTCCTGTGGAAGTCACATACAAGAACATGAGATTTCTTATTACATGTAATCCAACCAATGTGACCTGAAACAAATTTATAGAGGAACTTCAGAAGTATAGAGTTACCACAAGAGTGAAGCAACTTATGGCACTAGTCTTACGGAGAAAGAAGGTATCCATGTTTTTGACTGGCCTTTTGATGATGGTGCACCACCATCCAACCAGATTGTTAATAACTGACTGGTTATGTTTTGTAAAAATTAAGTTTTGTGAAGAACCCGGTTTTTGTATTGCTGTTCATTGCATTTCAGGCCTCAGGGTAGCTCTAGTACTTGTTGCCCTAGCATTAACTGAAGGTAGAATGAAAGATGAAGATGCAGCATAATTCACAAGACAAAAGTGGCATGGAGCTTTTAACAGCAAGCAACTTTTGTATTTGGAGAGGTATCACCCGAAAATGTGGCTGCGCTTCAAAGAGTCCAACGGTCATAGAAACAACTGCTGCATTCAATAAAACTGGGGCGTCTAATGCTACTGGAAGTGGAACTTGAGATAGGACCTAATTTGTTATACATATTAGCCAACATGTTGGCTTATGAGTATGTCTAATGAAGCTTCCATAAGAGTATTGAAAGGCAGTTTTATCAGGTCACAAGATAGATTTGGCAACCTCTGTGTTTGGGTTACATTCAACCTATTTGGACACTTGGCAAAAGATTCTTGCTGTCAACATATAAAATGTGCTTGTCATTTGTACCAGTTGACCTTTCCCAAAATCAGGCAGTATTGAGTTATGACTTGTTTTAATCTATTCCCACACCAGAATCTCATGAATACACAGAAATTTAGTAAGATTAGGTGCCAAAATACCCAGCACAATACTTGCAAACTTTTAGTACCATACAGAGCTAAAATCCTAGGAACTAGGAATACTCTAGACCTTATGTGGTTTATTCCTTCAATCACTTCAAACATTGAATATAGGGTGGTCAGGTGTGGTGGCTTACGCCTGTAATCCCAGCATTTTGGGAGGCTGAGACGGGTGGATCATGAGATCATGAGTTCGAGACCAGCCTAACCAACACGGTGAAACCCACCTCTACTAAAAATACAAAAATTAGCTGGGTGTGGTGGCACATGCCTGTAATTCCAGCTACTCAGGAGGCTGCGGCAGGAGAATCATTTGAATCCGGAAGGCAAAGGTTGCAGTGAGCCAAGATCATGCCACTGCACTCCCGCCTGAGTGACAGAGTGAGACTCTGTCTCAAAAAAAAAAAAAAAAAAAAAGGAAAAAAGGTAGGGCCCACATGGTTATTTGCCTTGGTCACTTTGTTACCTCTGACTACATTCATACCAGTATACATCAGGTTTGCTTAACCACTGATTTTTTTTAATCAAGTTTTACAGTGATTATTTGATATGTTTCTATAAATCTTACTTTGTGCTGTTATAAAAAACCTCCATTTTGAAAATCTACATTGTACAGAAGCACATGCCTTCAATGTGTCTAAAAAAAAAAAAAAAAAAAAAAAAAGCATTACAGTTAATTTAATGTTTGCACTCTGAGGTGCAACTTAAGAGGGAGAGGCTGAGAAAAGAATGGAAGAGGGCTGTTAATTATTTTTAGCAAATGTTGCCTTTGTCTTATGCAGAACATGTAGAATATACTCTTTAATTTAGTAAAAATTTTTTTAAGGTAGAGATACTTGGTTATTCTAATCACAAACTTACTGAAATTCTTGTGATTTTTTTCCATACTTATCAGAAGTTGTTTACCAACTTATTTTTGTTTGAAAGTGTGATTTTCTTTCGTTCTCTTCCCAACCTCTCTTGCAAAAAAAGAAGTGAGTTTCTGCTAATGAATTGAGCAGACATCTAATATTTTATATGCCTTTTGAGTTGTATAACTTAATATTTGGATGCTTGATAATTTATTTTATTATATAATTAATAAAATGGTGATGTGTATTAATGTTAGTTCAACCATGTATTTATACTTTCTGGGGATATGTGGTTACAGTTCTGTGGGAGAAATAATTTGACAGTGTTCACCAGCTTGTAAAAACTTAGTGTGGCAGCTTAAACATCTAAACAAATAATGAAATGCAAAAAAAGAAAAAAAAGAACTTGTCCATGTAACCAAAAACCACCTGTTCCCCAACAACTGTTGAAATAAAATGAAATAATGGACCAAATCATTAAAACTCATACCTGAAACCCTGCTTAGTCACAATATGAAGTTTCTAGATATCTGAGAAGGCCCTTGCATAAAAACTGACAAGGAGAAAATTAAGGAAAAAAACATGATCTCCAATAGTTTGCTTAGTTCCTAGCCAACTTTTCAGGTTTTCATACGTAATAACTGCGATCATTCAATAGGCTTCAAGCAAGGATGACTTAACTCCAGATCCTGCTACAAGACAGTACATGGCCCAATTAAGCTAGCTTCCGTATCTCTAGAAAAATGACTAAGTTAGACCCTCCATGTGGCAACAGATGGGTCAATCTGATCTCCATTTGACACTTAGTAAAGACTGGTAAATCAAGAAGCAAGTTCAAATTGAAGAAAAGAAAAACAAAGTGCCTCCTCTCATTCCCATCTTTCCCCTCACTATCCGACTGCTTTATCTCCCTTGCCCTCCCAGCCTGGCTAGTGGGTTGGGTTAGTAGCTTACTCATTCTTCAAAGTGGAATACTGCCTACTCTAGAAAAAGGATATGGCTTTCTCAGCCCACTCATCATTGGAGTTTTTTCCTTATTTCCCAGCCTCTCCTGTGGCAACTGCAATGAAACATGGGTATGTGGCTCTTTGTTCTCTTTAAGTTTGGACTTGCAGGCTGCAAGAAGAGATGCTGTTTGGCCACCAAGCCTGCAGGCTCTCTGGGGGCCCCACCATGGACAACCCTGAGAGAGCCCATTCTAACTTCCTGCAAGTCACATTACCCAAAAATTTGACAGGCAGTTCTGGGCTTTACTCTTATTCTGAACTTTCTTCATGCCCTCTTCACATCTGATCATGCTCCTTATTTTTCTCCTTCCCCAGCATCATCTACTCTATTAATGATGATGGAAAAAAAAACTGTGATAAACCTATGGCCACAGAGGCAAGGGAGTCTACTAAGAAATAAATCTGTGATTTCAAACTTCTCCTTCTGATCCTCAAAAGATAGTTTTGAGGCTATGGAGTTAAGTGGTAGCATGAAATGAAATGAAGAAACAGAGGCATAGACTTGGACACAGTGTCCTCTGCTTCTTGCCTAATGCCTTGGGTAGCTGAGTACAGTGCAGTGGGGAGACAGACAAGAGTCAGATGACTGCTCTTTGGATTATCTAATCCAATAACTGGCTCTGTAATTTGAGAGAAACCTCCTCATCATAAAATAAAATAAAATAATTGAACTAGATGGGCCCCAACGTCCAGCAGTTATGTTCTGACTCTGAGTGGGCTCATTATGTCTTTCAGAATTTACCTTGGTTGCACCTCCTTAGAGGTTTGCAGCAGCTGGTTTTGAAGTTGCTTGTTTTCCACAATGACTTGTGAAAGAAGGAAACGGAGTTAGACTTACAAGTTTCCTTCACATTTCAGTGCTTGAAGATTAACTGGAAAGAGGCTACTGTAAATGATCTCCACTCCCCTCAAGTTTCTGCCCTGCCTGCCAGCAATCTTCTCCCTTCCAAGAGACTACTGCCTTCTTCTTCATCAAGATGATCAAGGCTACCAGGAAAACCTTCCTCTAATCTCTGCCTGCATGCCAACAACTCATAAATCTGCATCTACCCTTCACTCCTTCCTTCCAGTCTCAGAGAAACGTGTGTCCTTTCTTCAGCTTGTTTCTGCCACTAGTGCATGGATTCTGACTCCCTTCCTCCCTGACCTACAGAAAAAGGGCTACTCTCTTGATTCCTCTTCTTTAAAATTGTCCTGGAATAAAATTATTCCAACCCTTCTAGAAAAGGTCATAGAGGATATAAAGTGGCGCTTTTCTTGTGCTTACGAGCAGAATCAAAACTGATTCTTTTTAAGATGATATTGGATTTTTACATATTGTTCAGGACATTGTTCATTATACTACACAGCTTCCTCTATATGTGGTCCCGAGGAGAAATTTCTGTTCAGTACGATTACCTATGGCAGTTGTTCTCTTGAGCAGCTGTTTGCTTACATCTTGTAACAGAGTAAACAATGTAACTTATCCTACCTCCCTGTTTGTATTGATTCTGGGAAGCTCAGAACTAAATCGGTGGCGTCACTCCAGCAGTCTAATACATGGGCAATCACTTTGTATTGAATCAATGAATCACTTTGTATTGAATCACCGAATTTGCCACTGCTTTAGTCTTTTCTTTTTTCTTTCTTTTTTTCTTGAGCTAGGGTCTCACTCTGTCACCCAGGCTGGAGTAAAGAGGAGCAATCTTGGCTCACTGCAACCTCTGCCTCCCAGTTCATGTGATTCTCATGCCTCAGCCACTCAAGTAGCTAGGATTATAGGCATGTGCCACCACACCCAGCTAAGTTTTAGATTTTTTAGTAGAGACAGAGTTTCACTACATTGGCCAAGCTGGTCTTGAACTCCTGGCCTCATGTGATCTGCCCACATCATCCTTCCAAAATGCTGGGATTAAAGGCATGAGTCATCACCACACCTGGCAAGTCTTTTCTTATGCCTCCTCATTCTCCCATTTTAAATTCATATTATTTTAAATTGTTGTTTTATATGGACATAGAAAATCCAACTGAAGTACTACCTGAAAAAAGGTACGCTGTAACTAGCACCTAAACAGATTAATAGATACTTCTTCTTTCAGAGATTTTTATTTAGAAATATGTATCAAAATATATAAGGATTTCTCTAGACATGGAATAAAATTCAGATGAGTTAATGAATGAATGGATACATGAATAGAATAAATGAAAGAAAGTAAAACTATGAAAGGCATTGGAATAAGCCTTAGAAAAAGATTATTGGATTTGAGTTTTATTATAATATTGGCCACAATAAAGTCTTGAGGTAAGATAAGCCGCTCAAATTTATCTCATAAAGATGCTCTAATAGCTCCCCAACAATGCTATAGGTAGGAGAGGTTATTACTGCATAGGACATCTTCATCACATTCTTTATCAGAGCTACTTATGGTGGACTAGGCTACTAACAGAAGGAAAAAAATGTGATTTTATCAATTTACCGACTAAGCAGCCACGATCATGCAGAAAGGTACAGAAATGACAGAATTAGGGATGATGACTTTTCCCATTATATTAAAATCTATGGAAAAGGGATAGAACAAACTATTGAACAGAATAGTTACACCGAATTATAAGCATCTAGTAAAAGTATCAGGTGCCACATGAAGTTAGTCTGGACAATTGTCATTTTAATATTGGACTGTGAATGCCCTATAATGTTACCTTATTTTTACTGTTAATGGCTAGGTCATTGAACAAATGGCAGTTATTATTATGGTTATCATCCTAAATCTTCTTATAGAAGCCAGGTGCCAATTCTCTGTGACATTATGCCCCTGTATAATATACTCGCTCTTCTGGTCTCGCTACCCATCTTTCAAGAACAGCCTCAAATCCCATTCCCTCCCAGATTGAGTCCTTCTAGTCAGAAAACACTAAACATATAAATGGTTCTTAGAACGATGATTTTGATGACAGTGGGCAGAGTTAATTTTAAGTTAACATGGAGGGAGCCTGGAATTAGAAAGACAAGTTGGTTAGTTATCATAAAAATTCAGACTTAGGGGGCTAATGATAATTAAAGATAGCACTTGGCTTTATTCTACTCAGTATTGCAATTATATGCATACACATCTGTATCTCCCACCTGACCTCTGAGGACAAAAATCATACCCCTAGTGTCACCTATGTCTAAATCATAGTAGATACTCAATAAATGTTTATTATAAACTGAATGAGTAAATGAATAAATAGAGTGAGATGCAAAAAAGTCCATTGCGACTCTTTTAAAATTCTTTTCTATTGGCTCCTCAATAAAGCAGAGGAAAGTGAAAACCTATATTAGAAAGAGAACAGGGCCATTTTACCATCTTAATCATCACCACTCTCCCTCAGACCTTGGATGTGCTCCAGGTTGTTGATGTTCCTCATAAAACCTGCTGCCCAGAACTGTGCACAGATTCCAGACAAAATCTGGCCAGGACCGTGTCTAGCGGAAGCATCTCCTTCAGCAATCTGCACACTTTCTGCTTTTTAACAAAGCCCAAGATCGTTGGCATATTTTTAATGGCCACATCACACTTTCACTTCACATGAAGCTTATAGCCACCCGATACCCATGATTATTTTCCCACTGAATGTTGCAAACATAGGTCTCCACCAGCTTGGTTTATACATTTTTTATATCCTAAACGCTAAGTTCATTCCTATAAATCCTGCCTCCTCCCTCACATAACCTTGCAGCATAAGTTCAGCAGGCAATTCCGAGTACCTCCTGGGTACTGAGCACAGCTAAGAGGCACAGGCATTCCTGAAGAATAAGTCTTCCTGAAAGCAGAATACTGTAGAGAGGACATACTCACTGTACTCAGCTTTATGTTTTTACACTCAAATAGAAAAGAGGCCTCTGAGGGGAGATAGGGCACAGATGCCCTGTGGGGCAGGGTGATTCATGTCTCATGCTTTCTGCCTCATGGTGAATCCTTATTACTATATAAGGTATGATCCTGCCCTTGTAAAATTCTTTGCTGAGATGATTACCTTTTTCACATCTCCTCTTCAATCACCTTAAGATCTTCTTGAGAATATCCACCATCTCTTCAAACTCACCACTGAATCCAATGCAATGTCTAGCCAAACACTTCCTCTTATGAAATATCTTTAAGTCACAAGGCACTTTCAACAAGCAGTATCTCATGTGAATTTCACAATATCCCTCTGAGGTAGACAGAGGAGTTAGTCACTTCTTTACATATGCTCCACAAATTCCACTCTACCACTATGGCCCTCTGCTGACCAAGCCCTGGAAGCTTCACAGCTCATTGGGACTAAAGTTAAAATCCATACAATGGCCTCATGGACTCTATAGAACCTCTCTTCCAACTACTCTCTGCCTAACTCATTCAGTCCTGCCATGCCAGCTCCTTCCTCTTTCCTCGGACTGGAATAAACCTGGATTCCATGTGGTTCACTCCCTTGCTTCCTTCAGATATCTGCTCAAATATCATCTTTTCAGTAAGGCTTTCTATGGATACACTTTACTCTACTTCCACAGCAAGTACTCTGTTTCCCCTATTCTGATGAATTTCTTTCTCTAGCACTTGCCACTGTTTCGCGTATGATGTACACACTTGTGTATTCATTGCCTGTCTTACAGTTCACAGACTGTAAG